TGACATTTAGGTAAAAAAATTGGTGACCAGTGACATTTTAGTCAGTTATCCTATAAGTTATAACAATCAACTATCAACAGCACTTTCATTGGAAAATTTTGTGATACTCACCAAGTTGGCGGCTACCGGATATATACGACTCCAGTTATTCCATTTGGCGACAGAGACTGTGAAGCTCTGTTGTTTCTTACATTTTCATTTTTTTATAAACTGATAAATAGTATGTACATTAATATGGACTTTCTAATTCAAATAAAAATTAAAAAATATACATATAATATTTTTTAAAAAAATATATAAGGAATATACATAACATTTTAAAAATATATTTGAAGAAAATAGAAATTAAGAATAACAATAAAGGAAAGTAGACTAAATGATGAAGTTATTCTCAAAATTATGTATAGTAATTTAATATATAAAATTAAAGTAGTTGAGATTTAGAAAGCAAATAATTTGATAATATAAGCAGTTGAGATTTTTAAAAAAATTAACATAAAAAAGTAAAAAACAATTTGAAAGTAACTGTTTTGAGTGTATGTAGTTAAGATTTGAGAAGAAAAAATACATTTTAATATCAAAAAGAAATTTAAAAGGAATAATAATTAAGAGTTTAAAAGCTTAAAAAAATAATATTAAACAATGATGAACTCACGTATTTTAAATAGAAAGATAATATAATAAAACATCAATTCACCATCAAGAGCGAAAATTCGATTTTATTATATAAAGGTATATTTTTAAGTATTGGATTTCTATAACATAAATAAGCACAATAATTGACTTTGTTTATTATATAGCTTAACATAAAATTAGGTTTTTGTGTTAAAATAGTAATATATTCTAGGGATTATTGTTTGTTCTTTTAAAAGAATATATAATTATGTCATTTTAATTAAATTTACTGTATTTTGTGGTAAGAGAAGCAGAAATCATGATAAAATGAAGTATGAAATTTTTATAAAAAATACTTTTAATTAAATTGATTGCATTTTAAAATAATAAATATTTTTTTCGATATTCTAAAAATAAAAAACTTGATTCTTACTATTAATCGATACTATTTTTCTTAACCGAAGACGAGTGAATTAAGAAATTCCTAGGTGTATAGAGACGATTTTTTTTTTCTTAAAACTATTTTGTAGAATAGTTATGGAAATAAATAGTTTTTATGCTTTTTTTGTTTGAAAATTGAAAATCAAAACAAAAAACAAAAATAATCCAGATATATCTTCTAAATTTGATTCAAAAATTAAAAAAATAGGTACAGTTTTTAGTTTTTTTATTATAAAACAGGCCTTACTTTATTTTTTTTCTGAAAATCAAAATTTTATTTTTAAAAACTAATCTCAAACAAGCCCTAAATTTGTGCGAAAGACTTCCACAAGTGCCGTATGGGACTGATTTTGTGTTGAAAAATACACAAGCATTAATAATGGCTACCAACATGAATCACGATCCTAGGGCTGTTTACTTAACCAGCATTCCACCCTTTTGTTATATATTCGTTGATTTTTTTTTTTTTTGGAAAATACTTTTTGTTATATATTCTAAAAGAATAAAAAAAATACTGGGTTGATTTTACGTTTTATACTGACTCTTACTTTTTTTCCTTTTTTCTTTTTTTGGTAAATGACTCTTACTTCTAAGTAAAGAGTACATTTTTTCTATAAAAAAAAAAGAAAGTTGATTTAAAATTTTAATCCAGTTACAAAAGGAAATAATAAAAAGAAGAAAAAGGAAAAAAGAAAAGGAGACTACCCTAATTCATAGATAACGTTGATTTGACCCAAAGTTCGGTTTGTGGCAATAGAGTAACGAGGGGCGATATCCCAAAGTTAAATCATGCGGAACGTAAGTGATTTGACCACAATCAAAAACGTGGTTCGATGAGAAAAAGGCGTATTGTTTTCTAATTTTAAATTTTTTCACATGTAAAAAAAGAATAAATCAATCAATCAAATTTCAGGAAGCTTTATAAAGTGCTTTCTTCCGAGTTAAATTTTCATTTGTCCATATTTCGAGAATCTCGAATCTATAATTAAATTGAACCCGAAATAATAATAAAGAGATATTACGTAAATCTCGTTAGGTTTTAGACTGAGCCAGCGATACAGTACAAAAGTAAGTAGAATTTAGAAATACTTCAAAATATCGCCCGCTTTTCACATAAACCAAGAAGGAGAAAGTAAACAAACATCCTTTAGCATCCATTTAAGAATCTCCATATTATCTAAGTAAACACTGCTGCCCAACAAATTTGTCCAGACTTTTCACTGCTATCAATAATTGAAGGGGGTTGTTTACTTTACAATTAAACTACCGGTAAATTATAATAAGTGAAAAAAAAAAAAAAAACACGATATAAAAGAACAGTGATACTTTAAATTTCATCTTTGTACTAATTAGATGCCGACAGATATTGATCACATTTGTCCAGGGATTAGTTAGAAGCAGGAACATAAGCACGATAAAAAATAAATAAAAAAAACAATCAGGATAAATTGCAAATGCTGTTTATGGGACAGTTACAGTTGACTTTTCAAGCCGAAAATTAAAGTTTCCACAAGCCTTATTTATTATGATTAGGCAAGCACGTTTAAATTCCAGCATCGTCAGGAAAATGCACTGTGACTAGAGAGCAATTAATCCACCCACAACCACTTTCAACTTTCCACCTTTAATTAGGGCATAAGCTAACACAACACAACCCTCTTTTTTCTCTTTACTTTTCTCTCTTATTATTTCTCCATTTCTCTGCCTCTGTTTCTTGATTTCTAACTACCTAAGATAACAAGTACACCACTGACTCTATTATTATGCCCATGGCCATGCCACCACCTTCCTCCACCACCACGGTGGTAGAGATCACCGTGATATCTATAGAAGGCCTCAATAACTACACCTCCTATTTCAACCCCACCATCAGACCCTTCATCACACTCACACCCACATCCATGTCAACGGTGCACGATACCCCAACTGCAACTGCAACTTCAACTGCAACTGCAACTCCAAGGTGGGATCACAAGTTCCGCGTCCCAGTGGATCCTAGCTTCTTTTCGGATAGATATTCGTGTCTACAACTTGAGCTCTTCACCAAGAGAAGAATCGTGGGCCCGGCCCAACTCGGGGGTTGTCTAATCCCGGCCTCAGACATTGGGCTCCTTCCCCCAGGTTCGGTGCGGTACCTGAGTTATCGGCTCCGAGGCAGAGACGGTTCCAGGGGACACGCCATCATCAACATCTCCATCACATTGGAGGATACAATTGTCGATGTTCCATGGATATCAACGAACATGGATACGTGTCACACTGTCATTGGGATACCGGTGACAGCCATTCGGGGAACTGGCAAGCATTTCCAGCAGTACACGACAATGTTGAGATAAGTTATAATAAATAAATTAAAAAAAAAATTCAAGGACCAAGCGAAACCATTGGTTTTGCAAGTTGGCATAGTGGACAGGAAGTGGTTTAGTGGGGGCGGTGTCATTCCGACCCTGATGAGCCCACTTTTTATTTCTGTAGTTTGTGCTCATGTATTCTATTGTTTTCTTTCCCCTTTTTAGCCGGATGAATCTCACGTGATCTATATCTTAAAAGAAAATCTTCATTTGGATTTAATTGATAATAAAAAAATATACGTGTTATATTTATAAATTTTTTATTTACAAACTCAACGATCGAAAAATACACTGCACAGTGAGATGTTTGTATTGCTTAGAATACATGGTTGAGTTTAAACATAATATTTTTTTTAAAAATTACTTTTAAAATATAATTATAAACATTTTTAAAGTTACATAAATCCCACATCTAAAATTAATGCTTTCCAATGATAATCTTAATTTTAAAAAAAATAATTCTACAACTCAAAATTAATTTTCCACGTAAAAATTTTCAAGTAAATACATTATTACTGTATAAATCAACTTCATCCGCAGCAGCAAACGAAATTTTAGGCCTTCCCAAATCTAAAACACAAATACCCTTGACCTTGTGGCAGTTTAATTATTTTTCTACTTTCAAATTAATCAATAACATTATTTTAACATTTTGTGTGGTTTGGTTGAGATCTTGCATGGTGCGATTGGGCATCTTCTATTTGAATTGTGTTTCTCAATCACATACCTGATGAGGGAGAGAGGGAGGGGAAAAGGTGCAAACCAGATGAAGGAGACAGGGGAAGAGAGCAAATTAAATAAGTGAAGTTGAGAATCATATGGAAGTGAGAGCATATGAGAGAAAACTAAGAAATAAATGGAAAAGAGTTGAATAACTGATATCAAGTGCAGAGACATAGCGAGGTCGTAATAAAATTAGTTAGAAGGTTTTTTCTTTATTTTAACGAGGAAAGTTATACTTACAACGTCTTACAACTATATCTTAACACCGTTGATTGGCATATCATTTATTGTGAATTAATAATTAATTAATGAATTTAATTTGTAAAAATCATAACCGTTGATTGTCAGAAATCAACGGTATTAAAATATGGTTGTAAGAGATTGTAAAAAAAAAATGTAATTAATAACAATTACGTAAAAAGCAAAAAAAAAAAAAAAAAAAAGCAAACTAACAAACAATTAACATTTAATTGATAAACTGCAAAAGCGATTATCAGATAAAAATCATTGTTCCTTATCAACTCGATCCCGATCGACTGATTTATTAATAACATGTCATGAACAAAGGATAGATACATGTGGTTACGTCGTTTATTCTTTGTGTTGACGAGGCTGCGAAACCTTGAATTACAAATATACAAGCAGCAAAGGATGATGCATCCCTATTATAGACGATGCAATAAAAATGCTTTTACTTTTTTCCTTCTCGTATGAACACATGTAGTTGTATCCAAAAAAAAATGAAAAAAAAAAAGAACACATTTCGTTATACAAAATTGCCGGAACTTGAAGATTGGCAAGCGCAAAAAGTGTGCCCCTCCAAAGTTCCAACCGACTTCAGCATTGACCTCTACCCCCAACAAAAAATTCGCTTCTTCAACTCATGAACTTCGCCTCAAGAACACTAACAGGCCTAAACCAGCAACAATTGCCGCTCCAGCAGCAACGGCACTAAATGCCGAGGCCCATGCTTCTGAATTAGCATATTCAAAACTTCCCAAACTTGAATCACTTCCATAACCACGTGTTCCTGAGTAGTCTAAGTGCAATCTCAATCCCTACAAAATTCATCAACCCAAAGTCAAACTTCTTTGAGACAGACAGATAATACGTACAAATCCCATTATCCTAGGTGTCAGGTCCAATTCCCAATTAAATGACATCAAGCTTTAGATGATTGATCATTCAGACGATATAAAGCCTTCTTTTTCTACTCGAAGGTGTCAAAGCTTCTTTTATACTAAGTGGCTAAACTTCAATCTTTGACCTTTATTTCTTCTAATAAAATCGAGTTTCAGCACAAGCTGTGACCTGTGAGAGACATGCATTTTATCTTCTATCCACACTTCAAGTTCTTTAACCTTCTAAGACAATTGACCTTTGACACTCTCCACAAACATTTTAGGTTCTGCTATTCCAGTTTGATAATTGTGATCCCATGTCAATTTTATTTTTATTTTTATTTTAAAAGTAAAATCTCATGAACCTATCTTACTATAAATCCAAATTTTCTTCAAAATTACAAATCCATAGCCCCCCGAAAAAAAAATTCCATTCAGGACACAGGACCAGCAAACAGATCCGCGTACCTTCAAACCAGCCGTCTTTGCGTGTTCCACAGCTGCAGCAAGATCACTGTCTGAAGCAAGTACAACTTTATCATGTTCTTCGTCTTCATACTGCAAAAAAATATAGCAGCTTGCATTGGGGAAAGCAGGAAACATTGACTTAACCTTATGAATGAATATAACATCTTGAAACATACCAGAATTTGGGGCAGGTTCTTGGGATCAATATCATTACCAACTCTCTGAATGATGGAAGTTATAACCTCTGTCAAACTCCGAGTATCTGAAGTTGCATGTAAACACAGAGCACTCAACTGATATTGCTTTACTTACAAAGTTACACAGAATTAACTTGAAATAAGGCTACTTCAGGGTATAAAAAAGTTACCCGTATAGATTACAGAAAACCCCATTATTTCCATATTTCTTTCTTTTCTTTTACTTTTCTGGATAAAAAGAATTTAACAGAAGGAAAGAAGAATTGCAGGAAAAAAAAGGAAACCTTCTCACTAAGAAAACCAGCAACCAAAAAGGAATAAAGAAGAAACCACTAACGTGAACCCCAGGCACAAAATACACTATTTCATTGAAACGAAAACCCAAGCAGACGTGTTTGCTTATCTACTACTACTGTCCTGTCCTAGCAATGTAGAAAAGCAGTAAAATATATAACTAAACAATAATGTCACACAAAATAAAAGTTTATCACATAACTCGCCGCACCATAAGTTCTCTTTCTTTCTCCTTCTATTCATCAATATTAACGGAGTACGCGTCCCTATGTAAATTATGAGCTTCACATTATGTGGAGTAAACATTACCCAAAATTATAATAAAGAATGCAGGTTTACGTATCAATTGACTGAAGACATGCAACACAGTTACATTAAAGTGAGACTCGTGATCAAAGGACCGGAATGAACGAACATATATATTGAAACCATCATTAGCATTTTATCGGAGATAGATAGATGGGAGGGAAAGCACACTTCTATGCAAAAATCTGGTTGTTGACATCATGACATGTGATAATATACATACCGCATGTGAATCTATGCAATCTTCCCTTCTTATCTTGTATTTTGAAGGAAAACGTATTCGGCATGGCTGACGCAAGATAAGGAAGGGATCTCCCTGTTTCTCCTCCCTCAGATATCAATTTGAAGGAACTGTCGCTGGCATGTATTAATTATGTGTAAGTACATTAAAAAATTGGAAATAATTTTTCCTAGCAACATTAATCATATTTATAACCTTTGTGTATCGTCATCATCATCATTTGGAGTTAAGGCCATGGCCGAATCCCAAAATTTTTGTATCATGGAGTTGGCAGCTTCAGTGTTCAAATTGGCATTATTTCCAATCTAATTAATGGAGAAAAGTGATACTATCAGTGCACATGTTTTCCAAAAAAAAAAAAAATCATAGGAAGCAGGAAAAAAAAAGGAATTTTGGCATCATAATATGTGCCTATTCAACATTAACATCAGCGATGCTCTAAACCCGGTTAGTGAAAAAAACAATTATCCATTGGGGAAAAACAGTTGAATATTTTCTTTATGTGTTAAGGAGCTGCACATTCCAAGCAGGAAAGGGAAAAATTGAAACTCAGTTACTTCTCGCCATTGATTGGACTCAGGCTACTGTTGAGCCTAAATTACCAAATTATAAGTGTAAAAGAAATCCTAGATGCGTCAATGCGATAAACCAACAAAATCAAAAGTAACAAAGAACAAATTCTTTTTTTCCTGTATCCACTAACATAACAGTCTAAACGTGTAATTAAAAGAATTAACATTTCCATAATGCTTGAGTCTTGATGAATGAAATAAATATGCAGTATGCTCAACAGATTTTTCCAAAGACTCCAAACATTTACGACATGAAGACGAGAAGAACATAACAAATATCTCAATGTCAGTAAGGGATTCATATCACACCAAATTATTCTAATTAAAGGCACCAGTTTCTGTGTTGATGTGTTTAGGTCGTGATTATTAAGGTAGGAATGGAACTAGAAACGGTAAAGCATGTGGATTGTGGAGGCTGAAGCTGAGAAAAATAAAGGAAAGAAGTGCCTTCTGCCTTCGTTTTGCTTTCAGTTCATAGGCCATTATTTCGTTGAAGTTTTTAGTATGATATATTATCTCCGTTTCTCTTCGTAACCCCCAATTGTATACTTTCCGAAAATTTAATAAATGAAAATTTGTTCGCATAGACTAATTGCCAGTGAATAATCAAGCTTTCAGATTCTTATATTCCCAAAAAGCTCAAGAAATGGTGACTATAGTTTTACAGAAGAGAATCCATCAAGATTCCATGTCAGCTAACCATGTATTTCATAATGTAAATAGTTTCACGTGTATTTAGCTCTCACAGCTGCATACCAGAATAACCGCATGCAGTTAGAGCTCAGCTCCTTCTTCTTCGGTATAAATATATGAGTACCACTGTGTAATGTGTTAAGTTGCATTTCATTCAATACATCAGAAAATTCAAGATATAGAGCCACATATCCCATTTCAACAAGGATTCAATAGGTGCTCCATGAAATAAACAGTATCGGGTATTACACAGTCCAAAAAAGCATACCTGACTAGCTGTCGCAACAGCAGCATGAGTGATATGAATCACATCAACAATAGCAACAACAACGCCATCTGTTTTCAACCACCCAAATCAGAAATTTTTTTGATGCAAGAACTTGTTCCCCATCTCATGTACTATTAAATTACCTCTATCAACCACAGGAAGATGCAAAAATTTTCCATCATGCATAAGGTGAAGTGCATCAACAATTGGTGTATCAATTATTGCACGTTCTGGATTTGGAGTCATGACCTGTAGATTGTGTTGAATATACATCAAATGAGACGGAAAAGAAAAAGATAATTGGATAAACACGCAGAAGGACAACTTTTTCTTCTAATTCATGGCAGGAAAATCGTGGTCATAAACATTACTAGATCTGGATGTACCTTCTCAACAGGAGTTGACGATGGAGGAAGATGTTGTGCTATTACCCGCATCAAGATATCCTTTGACCTGAAATGTATATGCAGGCATAGTCCATCATAATAATTTCAAAGATACAAAATGACAATAAAAATTAAAATTTTCAATGTGGGAGAGCGGCAAAAGTAGAAGAAGTGTAGCTTTTCAGAAAAGAGGTCAGGAGACAATGTCCATGGCTACACGCTTACGTAAGGATACCACAAGGTTTGTCATCAACCGTGACAATAGCTGAACTTGCACGAAGTTCAAGCATCTTCTTTGTTGTTGCCAAAACAGAGTCTGTAGGTGAAACTGTTACAACCCTGGAAAGCGACATTATCTGCTGAATTAACTTTGGATGATAACAGCAAACATGCAAAGAAGTTAAAACAGGTAATTTTTCTTCATTTTAAACAAAAGAAGGTATTACCTACTTTGAATTCTCAGGAATGATTGTAGACAATGATGGCTTAAATATCTGCTCGCGAAGAGTCTCAATGAAAGATGAATTGGAGCCTGCACAAAGACCAAATTATTATGACACAAAACATGCCCGGCAGAAACTGGGAACCAAACAACAAATATTGTCCAATGATGTCCAAATTAGAAATAAAAAAAAAAAAAATGAGGCATGCAAAAAGAAAATACTCTACAAACCAGAAGCAGGTGTTCCCCAGTGTTTTTCGATACCTTCAACAGCTGCTGCAATTGCCTTTCCTTTCTCAGCTGCCCTTTCCATACGGGCAATAGCATCATACAAACACTTTGCTATGTCAAGTAAGGCAATAACTTCTCCATTCTCCACCACCGGTAAATGTCTGAATTTCCCTGTATATCAGCCTTGTAGTCAAAGCGCAAGATAGAGAAATAACAATCAAATTCGTGTGCTTCTCTCCATAGAATACCAACCTTGCACCATCTTTTGGAGGGCTTCCACAGCAAGAGTGTCAGAAAGGACAAATACTGGATTCCTCGTCATAACCTTGGAAACAGGTGTGTCTTCAAGATTAATCTCACAGGCAATAACTCTCGTTGCTATATCCTTTAACCACAAAGATAGGATGGCAAGTTATGTATGTTAAAACTGCAGAAATCCAGGAAAAAGTCCCAATATTTTCCTTCTTTTTTTCTTTTTTGTTTTTTCCTTTTCCTTCATTTCTTGTTAAAGGGTCATAAAAAGAAGTCCAAACCATACCTTGTCAGTGAGGATTCCACAGAGCAAAGCATTAGAATCAGTTAGTAATAGAGCATCTACTTTGCGGGCAGCCATCCTACGGCAAGCTTCATAAATAGTTGTTGATTCAGGAACTGTCAAGGCCTTTGAAAGTCGCAATGATTTCACAGTTCGCTCTCCCCTGATCCAATTCCAAGCACAAAACGTATCCATCAATATCACCCCATGATTTTTAATTAACACAACCTTTTTACTGACTCGTCTTCTCTTCTTAGATACTCAAGCATGAAGCTACCACAAATTTGTTTAAAATGAATCTAACTTAGTGCGTTATATCAACTAGTGTGAATGTTTCATGAATCATTAACATCATCGTAATGAATCAATCAGATAAAGCCACATTTGTTTGGCGATGACATTGTTAGACATATATAAAACCATTAAATTAACATTTTAAATTTTTTGTTGAATTGGTTCTTTACATGATATCAGAGTCTAGGTGTTCACCACCCAACGGACTCACTCTCGTGAGAGTGTGAGAGAGAACGTACTAGAAATATATAAAATCATTAAATAGTCCTTAACTTAATAGGTCTTCATTTAACAATTTAAACTTCCTGTTTGAATTGGTTCTTTAGATACATTTTGAAGATAACTAAGTCTAAACCTAAATATGAGAATATCTGTTTCTAAAAATAGAAAATCACAATTCGCAGGAACGCAATGGGCATAGCTATTTGTTATAAAATTTCAATTTCACTTTGTAATGAAACATTTCAACCCAAAACTTTAAGGTCACAGGCCCAATTTTTTGTTTACCTTTTGTGCTTTTATTTTAATTCCACCAGAAAGTGGGGGGCGTGAGGATCGATCTCGTGACCTTATGGTCACTTAAGCTCATGTAAAGAACCATTTCAACCCAAAACTTTAAGGTGATAGGTGAGGGCCTTTTTAATGGTTTATATTATTCTCTAACACACTTTTGTTATTGGAATTAAATTAATTATTCAATTCAACGTGAAACATTTAAAGGTGGAGAAGTGAACGTACGTGGGGCGCGTAAGCGGAATTGATTTACGAGCAGTAGAGTCAGGGCTGTTCTTCTTTTGCCGCGAGGGGCTGTTCGTCAACGACACGCACCTTCGTGAAGAAGCACCATGACTCGCCATCCTCCCTTGTTAAATTTATTTACCTGACCCAATCCCTTCCTTCAAACATAGATTCACAATTAAGATCACATCGTTAACTGAACCAAAATTCAAAATGTAGAAGAAACTCACCAAAAGAAGAAAAGTAATAACGTGAAACACTCGAATCGGGATTGGAGGGGTGGGGGTAGCGGCGGTCTGGAGTGTGATCGGAAAATGGGGATTCCGGCCAATCAGGTGAGAAATAGAGACAAAGAGGGAACCTCTCGTATCGTAGCTGCCTGAAGAAAAAGGGCGGGGTGAAGGGAGAAGAGAAGTCGAAGGCGATTCGAATGGGACCAATACCAGTGCTCCACGTCAGCAACTGTTTTAGTAAATTCATTTTATTATTATTTGTTTATTTATTTTCTTCAAATTCACACAACAGCAAGTGCGCTGAATTCGACACGTGTCACTGTGAAATCTGAGGCCTTCGAATCCCTTACCTTATGATGCTACTTGCGCTACGTTACAACAAGGGGCGTTTGGTTGAGGAGAAATTTGTTGAATACTAGGAAAATAGAATTGATAGGGAAATGGTAAGAAAGTGACATAGATAGGAAAATGTAAAAAAAAGTTGTTTGGTGGGAAAAAATTTTACTAGGAAAATTAAGTAACTTTTATAAAATGTATGTTTAGTTGGAGGTAAGATATAGATGGAAAAATAATATGAAATGACAAAAATAACCATAGAAAACCATTCTTTTTGTGCGCTTAGTTAAAAAGTATGCTGGTCTTTTGATTAGTATCAAGTTAAAGCAAATAGGTTGCTTTCTACGAATACCACACTGGCTGTGGGATAGTTTAGCCGGCTATATGCACAGAGATAGATAGATAACTTGGTTTGATAGGTTTCTGATTTAGATAGATAAGTAAGAAACCAAACACAACCAAACATGGATACCTTATATTCCCACTACCCATTTCCCCATCTATCTCAACAGATGCCAGCAACCAAACACCTTCTAAGGAAAGAAAGAATAGCCCATGTCCATTACCTTCCATGATTCGGTTATTCCGCTTATGGTAATAATTTAAGTTTTGAAGGAGCTGCATGCCTACATTAACCATTCAGTTACGTTCATGATGGATGGTAAATTTATAGCTTTAACAGGTTAAAAATATTTTAATTGTTTTGACAAATAATTTATCCGATTTTAATTTCAGTAAAGTGTTTATTAAAGATTGTAAGATGTGGTAAATAATTTCTAGTAATTCTTGTTGAAATTTATGTTGACAATCTATTGGTTATGAATAAGAAGTGGGTTAAGTATGAAAAGAGAAAAAGTGAAGTTGAAGGGGTAAGTGGGTTTAAGAAGTCTCACATTGGACAACAAGTAGGAAGTGAGAGAGTTTATAAGCTCCCACCTCACTCTTCTAAATTGGCCCTTGGGTCACTACACATTTTGTGGAAGGAGCTAGGTGGGCTTAAGTCTACCACACGCGCGCGCCATCGCCGTCCGGCCGGCTCGATTCATGTGTGTGTAATTAAAATAATTTTTAATTTTTTGTCCAAAAATATATCCGTTGCTTCCCTCCAATTTTCAAACCCAAACGTTTCTACCCACCGGTTTTTTTGAGCAATTTTGAGCCGAACCGGTTCTTTCCTTTCACGAACCGATCACCGGTTGTGTCTACTCACCGAACTGGTCACCGGTTGCACCCGTTTGCGGCCGTCAGACACGGCGATTCCCCGCCGGCGACAGTTCATCGTGATCTGTCCGAGTCTATAAATTGACACTAACACCTTCAAAATATGGCAGGAAGGAAAGATAAAAAAATATTTGTTTGCAACTACACAACTTCACGTTTAGCCACGTAATATTATAAGTATTATAATCAAATTGAAGACGTTTTGATTGAACCTCACACATAGTATGTGTAATAACACGTCATATGCCACCTATTGCACATTTTACTTTAGCTACGCTGACTTTACATTAACAAGTGTTTTTTTTTTTTACATTAACAAGTGTTAATATACCCTAATGCAGTGAATATTGAAAAAGTTGAAGCTGACGTGGCTATAGATGATAGTTGTGGGTAAGAATAAAAAAAATGCTGTTGCAAAATTGGCAAGTTTACCATTCGTTTTAAGTAATAAAATGATAAGTAAAGATCATTCCCACAAGGATTAGTACACCGGGTATTAATTTAACTATTCCCCTTAAGTTGAAAAAGAAAATTTATTTGAATTGTGAAAGTAATTGATTATTGGAAAAATAGAATAATATTTAAAAACATAAAATTAGGAACAATTAAATTCAAACGCATGCAAGAGTATCAAGAACGTTAAGAAAATATGAGATTTATTGAAAATTGTAAAAAGACTATAGCTACAATGCACTTCACCTCCGATCCTCCCTTATATTGTATTTTATAATTAACTAATTGGTTTGCTCAGACAATTCATTATTTCCGTATAAAATAGTTGAACTCTAATGTCTTAGTGATTTCAACCCTTTAACCCAATTAGAATCCTAGTGTCCTAGTAATCCCTCTTGAATTAAGCATTAAGCAAATGAATTAAAAGTCTGCAATCTATGTAAGACTATGTCTAGGTCATGCACAAATTGTTATTCTACACTTGTCCAGACTAAAACTCCAATATGTCTATTGTGAGTCCAAACCCTCAAAGCCCTATAATTAGATTGGTCAATTCTAACCAGGATATAGAAAAATTAACACCGGTGGAATAAAACAAACAAACAAATTAAATTATAAAAACAATGCAGGAAACATAAAGGATTTACATTGGGTCCGTGATCCCAACTACAAAAAAAAACTAGCCAGATATATTCATGTCTGACTTAAACAAATTTAAAAAATAGAAATTGTTCATGAACAAAAAAGAAAAGAAGAAGAAGAAAAAGATGGAAGATCAATGGTCTTCGGTCTTCAACTTTGTCAGAATCCTGCTCTCCAGCGTGAATCTCCACGAACTCTCTTAATTCTCTGGTCTCACAATTCTCTCCAGCCAAAGATTCCTTGTCTCTGAGGTATGAGTCTCTATTTAAAGAGTTTGTGCCTTGCTTAGAAATCTTGATCAAATCTTCATTGTGTATCTTGGATTCAATCTTCCTCTGATACATGGTCCAATTCATTCTAATACAGCCTGACATATTTTTAAGTATTGTCACGCACCTCACGCACTACTAGCGCCAGTTTCGCGCTAATAGCGTGGGAGTTCTGTTTAGCATATCGGAGGTTCACGCTACTAGCGTGGGTGTTATAAATGGTTGGCGCTGCTAGCGCGGCTTCCACGCTAGTAGCGTGGTGACTCTGGATGGAAAGCTGCTTCTGGCACTACTAGCGCGGGTTCTGCGCTAATAGCGTGGGGCTTCAGCCTGGTAGCTTCCAGTTGGACTTCTTTCTAGTCCCTTTTCCTACAAAATTAGTAGAAAATCAGTGACAAGAGATCTGATTGAGATTTATCCATTTAACAACAATTACAGCCCTTTGTATCCAAGATTGAGCAATATTCTTTATCTTTCTGCCTTAAAATCATATATATGCTGGAGGAATATCATATGCACACGTGGATAAAGTGAAAGTGAACGAACACGTAGACAAAGTAGCTTAGCCTCTCTTTCTAACCATTTTCTGCTTTGAGTCAGTTTTGCAGTTTATCAAATAGTTATTCTGTAGCTTCTTTTCACTTTGGTATTGTATCGGTTTTCTAACTTGTCACCTTGATATAAATGGTGGAAGCTTCAATGTACATTTCGAGATTTCATAATGACGAATTCCAAGATTTCTAAGATGGTATCAGAGCTTTGAAAGCTACGGGCCATCTACCATTTTTTCGCAAATGTTCTTTCTTCCTCTTTGATTCAATCAATCTTTTTCTTTGTTTTCTTGATAGTCATGGCATAGCAGAATCAGCTCTCGGATCCTTATTATCTCCACCTTAATGAGCCCAAACTAGTTCTTGTTTCTCCATCGATGAATGGAAAGAATTATCATGCATGGTCACAGGCAATGAAAAGAGCCTTGATCTCGAAGAACAAATTGATGTTTGTCAATGGCACCATCACTGCCCCTCTAGAAGATGAAGCAAGATATGCTACTTGGGAGATATATAACACAATGTTACTCTCTTGGCTTCACAAATACATTATTGAATCCATTACTTGGATCGACAAGGCTTATGATGTATGGAGTGACTTACAAGATCGATTGTCTCAATCTGATACATTTTGTATTTCAGATTTGTAAGAAGATATATATAAGACAAATCAGTATCTGATTACTTTACAAATTTGAAGGCACTTTGGGACGATCTAAACAATCTCAGGCCACTTTCACCTTGCACCTATGGAAGCCTGGTTCGAATGCACGAACACAGAGATACATATCAGGTTATAAGGTTTCTAAGAGGCCTTAATGAGCATTTTGCTCAAGTTCGTTCCCAGATATTGCTCATGTCTCCTCTTCCGAACATAAAGAGAACTTTCTAATTGGTCCTGCAACAAGAAAGACAATTACAAGTAGATGTACATAGTGGAAAGGTGAACAAAACAAATGTTTTTGCAAGTTCCTCAGAGAATTCATGTGGCCATAGTTTTTCATACAAAGGGAGAGGAAGATCCAATGGTGGACGAGGACAAAGTGCAGGTAACAAATACTGCACTCACTGTAAGAAAATGAACCATATTGTTGACACTTGTTATTTTAAGCATGGTTTTTCTCAAGGCTACCGATCCAAAAACTATCAAAATATTAGCAATGCAGTTCAAATTGAATACACTAATGTTGTCTGTGCAGAATGTGATGATACACTAAGCTCATAGGTATCTGTTCCGAAGGAGAAATATAAGGAGTTTATGGCCCATATGCAGTAATCCAAATCTACACATACCACTAATATAGCACATACTATGTTTTGATGAAACTCTCATGAAAACTCTCTTATTACCGGTAAAAATTCAATCCAACTATTCTTAGATACAGGAGCCACAAACAACATCACTCACATTCGATCTACATTTGAATCTATTCACAAGATTACACCAATCTGCTGCATTTCGGGTCCTTCGCTACATCAAAAGTTCTCTGGCACTAGACTATTCTTTTCTTCCAATAATAATATAAAACTATCGAGGTTCTCTGATTCAGATTGGGCTTATTGCCCGGACACACGCCACTCCATCACTGGACATTGTGTCTTCCTTGGATCAGCTCTCATATAATGGAAATCTAAAAAGCAAACAACAGTTTCTCGGTCGTCTTGTGAAGCTAAATATTGAGCTTTGGCCAATCTTTAATGTGAGCTTCAATGGCTCTCTTATCTTCTCAATGATCTCTATTTTCCTTTGCCAAACCATATCCATGTATTGGGATAATGCCTCAATGATATATCTTGCGCATAATCCAACATTCCATGAACGAAGTTGGACTGCCATGTTGTTCGTGAGAAAACGGTTTAGAAGTTGATTAACTTATTGCCAATTCTTTCCCCAGTGCAAATTGCAGACCTGTTTACTAAACCTTTGTTCGCACTGCATTTTAAAATGTTGTCTCCAAGTTGGGACTCTTGAACATACATAGTCCCAATTGTGGGTGTTAATATACCCTAATGCAATGAATATATTGAAGAAGCTGAAGCTGACGTGGCTATAGCCGATAACTATGGTAAGAATAAAGTGTATGCACATGTGGATAAAGTGAAAGTGAACGAACACGTGGATAAATGAGCTTAGACTCTCTTTCTAACCATTTTTTGTTTTGACTCGATTTTGTAGTTGATGAATTAGTTATTCTTTCTATTATTTTATAGCTTCTTTCAATTTGGTATTGTATCAATTTTCCAACTTGTCACCTTGAAAAAATGGTGGAAGCTTCAATGTACATTTTGAGATTTCATAATGATGAATTCCAATATTTATAAGAACTAATCGGTGCCCGAAGTTCAATTAAAATATGCTTTGGTCATTAAGGGACTTGTAGGCTACATATTTAAATTTAAATTTGGAGTAAAATGACATAATTCTATATATTTTTAAAAAAGATAAATATAAATACTAATCTCATATATATATATATATATATATATATATGCTTCTATCAAATTTTATATTATTGAGGGTATTTTTTGTATGGGTTTGTTTTTTCTGATGTTACTTTAGATAACTTTATCTAATGTTCATCAAAACGACGTCGTTTTGGGACGGAAATCATGGTATTTTTGTAATTTTAATTTATTTCAGGGTTATAATAGTCTTTATCACTCCAATTTTTTAATTTTTCAACCTCAAAACGACGTCGATTCGATGAACATTAGATAAAGTTATCTAAAGTAACATCGGAAACTTTTTTCCCTTTTTTTATACATTAAATTAATTTTTTTGACGTGGCTTAATTTTTCAAAAAAAGAAAAAAGGATGGTACCGGCATATTTCTGAAATACATAGTCTATTTACCAAAAAAGAAAGAAATACATATAGTCTAGTAAATGTAAAAGTATCCACTTATAAAAAGAAAAAAAAAAGTATGGAAAGAGAGTAAGAGAATGTAAGATCTGAATCAATAATTTTTGTTTAATTATTTTGGGTTCAAGTTTTTTATTATTCCGGAAATTATGTAAAATATCATAAGAATTGAGAAATTTCTCCGCGTATTCCTATGACTATAATCTCTTTGCCTTTATTTGCAAACCCCGGCCCAAAAAATTTGGTTGTAACTTGGAATGCCAATCGATTGCCCAAAAAACAAAAACGAAGAAACTGCCAAACCGACCTCAGGGACTGTTTTCGATAAGGAAAAAATAAAATAAAAAAGTTGCCAATTTCAAAAAAGGACTTTACTTCTCTTACTTAATACGAGTTATAAGAAAAATTATTTTATATCGTGAGATAATTAAAATAAGATCCATCAATTTTAAAAAAAGAAAAAAGAAAAAAGAAAAAGACACTCTTTGTGAATGTAAGAGAAAAGAAGAGATAAATCTCGTATAACATAAGAGTGTAATTTTACTTCAAAAAAAATCTACGAAAATTTGGTAATCAATTTATAATACCCCATCCCAACGGTGAAAGAGGAGAGCTATCAGAGCCGTTGAAATCACATTAAAAAAATAAGCTGACACGTTTAGCGGATCTCACTAACTCGAAGCGTCCGTTTGCATCCAACCGGGTTGTTTTGTCTATTTGTGTCCCCACCCAACCTCAAAACAAACGTGGAGTCTCTCTCTCTCTTCTACTCCTAAAGTCCTAGATCTTTCTCAAAACCGCTCCATTTCTGATCTTAGGATCTCCTTTACCCTTTGTGTTCCTGTGTCGTGCCTCTAAAAAAAAGAAAAAAAGCTTGGAAAGAAGAGATGGCGGATTGGGGTCCGGTGGTGGTAGCGGTGGTACTGTTTGTGCTGTTGAGTCCAGGGTTGTTGTTTCAGATACCAGGAAGGGGAAGGGTGGCTGAGTTTGGGAATATGCAAACTAGTGGAGCTTCCATTCTTGTTCATGCCATCATCTACTTTGGCCTCATCACTATCTTCCTCGTTGCCATTGGCGTTCACATCTACACTGGGTAACTTTCTACTCTCTTTTTTTCTCAATCTCAAATGGGAGGTGGATCTCAATAGATTTTCTTTTGCTTATGTTTTTATCTCCCTTTTAGTTTTTACATTACCTTGTAAGTGTGTATTGTATTGTATCTATATGTGGGCTGGGCTAGCTAGAGCTCTGGAATATTCCTCATTTTGGTACTGTGCTTGATGCTTCCCCAATCCTCACCCCCCAAAAAAATTTAAAATTAAATTTAAAAAGGATAAGGAAGATATTGTTTTCGTGCTATATGAATCATTGTCTTGTTGCTTTGTGACGGTGGGTTTGTGAACATTATTTGCAATGTTGGCGTTATTAAATTCATCACTTTGCCAATCTTTTTCCAGTATTGGGCACGTGGTTGTTAAAAAGAAAAAGCAAGCAAGTAAACCTCAAGCACCTGTAGTAATGTGGTCCACTAAAAACAAACTTAAATTAGTGCTGTTAGGCTATAGTCTGTTGCAATATTTCACTCTCTTCCGCGGTTTTACATATTTTTTTTGGGTATGTTTTCACTTTTCTACAGACACAAAAAAAAGTTGAGTTTTCCCACTATTTTTTCTTTCTCCTCGGTCCACTTATAATTTTATTTATAATTTTATTTCTACAAAGTAATTTTATTCTTATAACGTAAGAAAAATATATCTCTTTTTTTCTTACATTAACAAAAAGATGGGAGCTCACGAGTTAAAGAAAAAAAAAAAAATTACAGGCGACGTGAGATCATTATCTCCTACGTTGAAGAAAACAATTTCTCGAGAACAAATCTTACACACAAAAAATTAAAATTTAAAAATATTTGTCTTAACCAGGCTAGTTAAAATCGGTATTTTATCTAAAATTGAAAGAGAATAAAAAATTATAAAATATAAAAAAATTGTAAAAATGTAAAAGTGCTTAATATTTTGATGAAATTATTTTGATTAAAAAAAATTATATAATTATAAAAACACAGATTTAAATTGAAATTTTATCTCCCATTTCTTAACGATCTTCAATGGATTAAGTATGGTTTTCGAATGCCTAAGTTTTTTATATTGCTCTAAATATCACGAGAGGCAGCGATGTCACAATTGAACGGATGTTTGCTCAAACTTCAATTAAGGTGCAAGAAGTCCAAATTTACATTGATCACATAAAGTTTACTTATTTTTTCTGCCAATTCAATTACAATTAGTGTCGATTTATAATAGAAAAGGAAAATAAAATCTCTAAAATTAATGTTTTTAAAATGAGTAAATAAGGGTATGTTGGTTAAAATGATGATGTAATTTAAATTAAGGGAAAAAGTATATCGCAGTCGGCTAGAAGCCTAATGCCGTAATGCCTATACGAATTCCTCCCCACATATATATATATATATATATATATATATATATATATATATATATATATATATATATATTCTTACACCGGTGTAAGAGTTAAAAGTCTTATATTCAATCTTGATCATTGATCTACTTGTATCTAATAGCTCATATTACTAAAAAATTAGAGCCCTTAGATATAAGTGGGATCAACGGACAAGATTAAGAGTGTAACTTACACTGGTGTAAAATGATCCTGACCCATATATATATATGAGATAGATTATTCTACCTACTCTTATTTTGTCTACTTTTGTTTACCCATTTTAATATCATTCAATTACAATCTCATATCGATATTTGTGATATAAAAACAATTTTTTTTTCCATACTTTTTCCTCATTTTCTCCGCACTTTTTCTCTCTCCTCCCCTTTTATCTCTCCCTCGCAACCAAGACCAAAAGTTCCAGTGACAAAGATTAGTTCCTTCGAAACGAAAAACATATACTCAATAAAAACAAAAAACACATTATTATATATTAGGTATAAGGGTAGTTTAGGATTTCAATGATACCCTTGTACCTAATATCTAATACATACCATCATAAGTATCAATTAAAAAATCTCATTTTCTCCAAAACCTCAAAATCCTCATTGTCCACAACTCGATTTCCCAAAAATCAAAGCATGTTTGGAACGAAAAAAATTATGGGAATTTCACATGAATATATGGGCTCAAGAATTAATTGCTAATAAAATTGTTAAAGATAAGATATTAACGCCTTATTTACAAGGCTGTTCTTAGCGCATTCTTCATCATCCATGTCAGGTGAACGACACAGAGCTATAAGAAATAAGGTTTGAAATATTATTTCGTGTATCTGAGAGAGACATAAAATTAATTTGTATATGATTTTTTTAATTGTGTGTTTCAGCTAGATTCGAATTTGAAAATTTCGGTAAAAAGAAATTTTCTGTCTTTGTAGTCCTCCTCCAAATTAATTGACGAACATAAAATGATGGATGAGAAGCCACACATCCTTAAACTTTATTGCGTATATGGATTATTAACGCTTTAATTGAATTAGTTGAAAAACTCTAAAATAATTGAATCGATTTTCGTGAGTTTTCTAAGGAGCCAAACAGAAACGAAAATTGCGAGAAAAAAGAAGAGCAAGTGCACCTTAAGACTACAACATCTCAATAAATGGGATCTGTGATTTTTATTTTTAGTTAGGTTTTTTATTTTTATTTTTTGTACAGGGGATTTGTGATTTTCAATGACATAAAATTGTCATTCTAATGAGTGATTGGGCTGAGAAGATTAAGGATACTTGGAAAAGTGAGGTAGAGACATCATCATATGCTGAGCAAAAATCTAAGTTTATGCTGGTCGCAAAGGAAGAGAGAAAGGTGAGGAGAGAGAAAGAGTGCGGAAAAAAATGAGGAGAAAGAATGAGAAAAAAAAAAGTTTTTATGTCACAAATATCGACCGTTGGATGAGATTGTAATCGAACGGTATTAAAAGAAGTAGACAAAGGTAGATAAAATAAGAGTAGGTAGAATAACTTATCATATATATATATATATATATATATATATATATATATATATATATATATATATATATAACGTTTATTATTGTGTTTCAAATATTTAAAAAAGGTTATTCACTGAATAGGACAATTCCCAACTTGTGCAAGTAAGGACCCGTAGTATAATCCTTTAATTAAATTAAAAATAAATATGTTCTCGTTTTTTCCTCCTAAAAAGTTGTTATCATATAAGTTGTTAAATATTTATTGTATTAGTTTTATAATATTTAGAAGTTTATTATATATTTTCAACAGAAAATATTTTATTAACTAAAAGTAATATGTTCCGATGTAATTCTCATGGAATGATATGAATCTGAGCTTAGTTCCAATGTGTTCAGTGCGGTTGCTGTGGTGATGTTAGTACTTGCAAAGGTCAAGTAAATTCGGATTATGGGGGAGAGTGCAATTAGATTATATAGTTACCGGAAAATATTATTCTAATGTCACATGAGATAATAATTTTTTTTACACATTTAAAAAGATATAGGTCCTATTTTAATATATTTTTCTTTTTTTCCGTGCAATGGAACTCACACAAAATCGTGAGTGCAACATGAAATAACATATTACATATCTCCTGTTACGTAAGAAAATATAATCCCATAATTATAATAGAATCAAGGGCTATCTTGAAGTGTACATGGATATGTGTTGAGAAATTAAAGTGAAACCCAGTGTATTTAAAGATTTTTTAACATTAACAGAAAAAAGAAGAAGAGCCATTTTAAAAATAAATCAAATTCACAAATTGTTAAGTAAAGCAAACCAATAAAAATTTGACGTAATGTCCTTTAATATAAGATTTTATCTTATATAAAAATAGTAATCAACTAACCATTTATTAACGGGATGCGAGTTATGGAGTACATATACATCATTACTAGTATGTAGCTTCGTCTTGGTGTACCAAAACAAGTGGTAAGCTTCAATGGCTATTTTAAAATTGGGTTTGCTTTTTCTGCAGTTATTGTAGATAAGTTATCTGCAGCAAGTCAATATGACGTCGTTTTGAAATGAAAATCATGATATTTTTGTAATTTTAATTTATTTTAGAGTTATAATAGTCTTTATATTTATAATTTTTTAAGATTTCAATACCAAAACGACGTCGTTTTTGGAATAAATGCAGATAACTTCTCTACATTAACTGCGGAAATATTTTTCCCTTTAAAATTTTCAAATTTACTATACTTTATTATCCTGATAAAATTAATTTTAAAAACATTATTGTCAAACACAAAATTAAATATCTTAACATTACTTTTTTAAAAATATTTTTAACTATAGTTCTTTTAAAATCAATTTTACTAAAATATAAATTAAACAGATCTAAAATTCAGTTGCTTCATACCTAATTCAAGCAAGAATTGAATAATAATTTAAAATTCGAAAATATTTGTAGTTTGTTTTTTTAAAGTTGCTTAATAAATTGGGCTGGATTAAAATTTCAAAATGCAAGGGGCTTTATCGATCTGGGCCATTAATTAAGCTTTTTCAAAACCCGATTTCTCTTTGTAAGCCCACTAGCGTTTACTTGCTATCTCTCTCTCTCCCTCTCTCAATCTCTCTCTCCCTCAGCCTCACTCATTCATTTTTCAGAGCTCGCTCTCTCTCTCTCTCTCTCTCTCTCTCTCTCTCATGGCGAATCTAGCTCGCTTCTCCAAGAGAGCCCTAAGAAGCGCACACGCAATAGCAAAGCAGCACGTGCAGCCTCAGCTACTGGCGTCGGAACGTGCTTTTGCGACGGAGGCAGCGGAATCGATAACTCCTTCGCCGGATCGGGTGAAGTGGGACTACAGAGGGCAGAGGAAGATAATTCCGTTGGGGCAGTGGCTCCCCAAAGTGGCCGTCGACGCTTACGTGGCACCCAACGTGGTTCTCGCCGGCCAAGTCACCGTCTGGGATACAGCCTCCGTCTGGTCAGGTTCCGTCCTCCGCGGCGATCTCAACAAGATCACCATCGGCTTCTGCTCCAATGTTCAGGAACGCTGTGTTCTTCACGCTGCTTGGTCTTCTCCCACAGGTTAGGTTTTTCGCTCTTTTTATGATTTGCTATTCTGTTGCAATTGTTGGTTACTGAGCATTGTGACTTCAAAAAGAGGGAAATTTGTATCTGAGTTGGAAATTGTGGATTTATTCGTTTTTTTTGTTTTGTCATAGAATCTAGTATTAGTTGGTATGAAATTCCTAAAATTCATATTTCAGAAAAGCCGGTGTCATTTGAGCCTTTTGACTTATAAATATGCTTAATATTGCCTCTTCTGAAACATAAATAAGAGAAGAAAAGCCGGTTTGTTTCTTAGTCTTGCCACTACTATTGTCCGAATGCAACAGGGGAAGATAAAACCAGTTGACATTGGTTCATTTGTTAAATTATCAGTTTTCAAATACCTTAGAGTTGGGTACTTAATTAGTTTCTTAAATCAAATTGTTGACAAAAGAAAAAAAAGGAGATAACTGCATTTTGTGTTTCTGTTCTCTCTCTCAACACAACTTTCCTTTGCTTGGCCTTAAGTCCTTAACTTACTGGTTGACCTCTGCATTGATAAATATGAATTTTCTTAAATGTCATGAGCCTGATTTAATATTTTTAGTATCCTTTAAGAGTGTAATATCTATCATATTCTTAAATTGTTCATCTATTTACTTTTGCTATTTGAAGTACAAAATTTAGGTTTTAATTGTTTAGATTTTTTGAAGTTTTTGTTTTTGTTTTTATTTTTTTGTGTTGCTGATCCTGTAAATAAGTCATATTTACAATCTCATGATTCCCTTTATTAAGCATATCCTCTCTCTCATTGATACATCCTCGTTGAATGGACTAGTTGATGCTATTATAATGGTCTCTGGTAAATTATTTCACTAATTGTAATAGAATCTATGTCACAGAATCATACACCTTATTCTTTCCATTCCCTTGCTTTCAAAGCCGCCATGCTTCCAGTTTTTTTTGGGATCACCTTCAATCGCATATCAATTTCATTTTCATTATTAACTCTGTTTTTAGAGAGAGAGAGAGAGGAGTTGGGTGTGGAGTATGATGGAGATCCTTGATTGAGCTGATTGCTTTATTTTGCAATGGCCATAAATCCATAATCTTTAGATGACATGGGTAGTATTATGCGAATTCATGAACCCAAACCTTTTAGTCACAAGTTAACAAGCTAAACTAACAGACGTGTATTTTTGTGTTGTCTGAGAAATGTAAATTTGCTTTGAGCAATGTTACTATCAGAGAGAGATATTATATAAAAATCATTTATGAACCTTCACTTATAAGCTTAAGCTTTTAGGTGAGATGGTTGCTTTACATGGTTAGTGATCATGGGGTCACAAGTTCAATCCTCATCACCTTCCACTTTCTAGTGGAATTAAATGAGCACAGGGTAGAATAAAAAAAAATAAGACTATGCAATATCCACCCTTTAAGTCCAAAGGGCTCTTGCGTGAGGGGGTGTGTTAGAGGGATATAATATAAAAATCATTGATGGGCCTTCACTTCTAAACTTAAGTTTTTGGGTTGAATTGATTCTTTATAGTTATGTTCTAGTCATTTATGTTATTCTTTTCTGCCTGGAACTTGGAGCACTTTGTAGTGGGTTTTGTGTCCCAAAATATTATTAAGTTATTTTAATTCTGCCACTATTATTGGTCTGTTACACTTGTATGTGATGGTCTCATATGACACTTCTTGTGTCCCTCTTCCAATTTGTCATACTGTTTGGGCTGAGTTTCTTCTGGAAAATTATTTATTTCACTTGCTTTATAAAAAATATCAGTGTACTATTCATTATTGAGCTGTTTAGTGTTAAGTGGAGTTAGTGATCAGCATCTTTGCAGTTGTTTACTGTTAAGGAGAGTTTATTTGCATTGCAGTTTCCAATTTCAATTTGAGATCCTTGAGCAATGCATATGGGCTATGCTTATGATTTATGAATGTATTGCTTATTTATTGTGTATGCTTTCTGTGGAACAGGCCTTCCGGCTGAGACTTTTATAGAGAGGTATGTGACAATTGGGGCATACAGCCTGTTGAGGTCCTGCACTATAGAGCCAGAGTGCATTATTGGGCAGCATTCCATCCTCATGGAAGGTTCATTGGTGGAGACCCACTCAATCCTTGAAGCTGGGTCAGTTGTTCCGCCTGGAAGGCGAATTCCATCTGGTGAACTTTGGGCAGGAAATCCGGCCAAGTATGTGAGGACTTTGACCAATGAAGAAATGACAGAAATCCCAAAACTCGCAGTTGACATACGTAATGTGAGCAGAGCATATTACGATGAGCACTACCTTCCATATTCCACAGTATATCTGGAGGTTGAGAAGTTCAAGAAGTCTTTGGGTATTTCTATTTGATGCTCTTTGTTGTTATGCTTCAATGTATCTGTGAGTTGGAGTTTTTGCTTGTAAGGAAATAAGAATCTAAACACAGAGCAAGCTTTGTGTTTTCTTTGTATTACTTGCTGAAAGTGTTGGCTTAAAACATCATATCCTATGTAATTGACCGGAGTAATATGTTAACAGATAAGATGCATTGGTTTTTTGCTCCCTACTAAAAGATTCTAATATTGACAGGGTCTTACTGAAAGAAAAGTCCCAGAACAAATATATGCATTGTAACAGACGATCTAATTGGCTGTCGTTTCAAATCTCTCTACTCTCAATTTGAATGATCCACATTAATTGAATGGAGGCTGACTATTTGGAGCACTGCCTTAAACTTACATATACAATCAATGTTAATATACACTGTCCCACATAGACTTCCTATACGTGATAATTAAAATCCTAGAAAGGCCAACCCAAGTTATTGAGAAAAAATGAGACAATAAAGAACAATGTGTTGTGAATACAAATTTATGCATGATTTGAATTTTGAATTATGTGACGGTTCGCATTAAGGGGCGTTTGATAGGAGAGTTTTGATTTGTTGCTTGGGAAAGTGTATATGAGATTCAAAGAAAGCTGTGTTTGGTAGGGGTTTTGAAAATATTTGCCCAGGATTTTAATTTGCATGGGAAAGTGACATTGTGTGTACAATTGAGAGCAAATCACCACTTGAGAATACCACCCGTTTGCATGGGAAAGTTGCGTTTGCTTTTTTTTCAATTCTTTTTATACATAATGTTTGTATTGGAAAAGGGTTGATAGAATGAGAATAAGAATTCTGCGCTACTTCTTTGTTTTATCTCTTCCTTCTCTTTGACTTTGTCTTGTAACAAGTTTTTTTCCTCATCTCTCCCTCTTCATTTCATAACACAATGTATATTTCGTAGCCCTTGCATTTATAATTGTACACCATTGTATATTATGGCAACTCAAATAGAGCCCACCTGCACTGTTGTATAGTCCGAACTTAGAAGTTAGAAGGAAGGTTACTAAGATCACACTGTAGACTTCACAATTAAATGGTGGTTCCGCCGGGCCAATGGCAAGACTCAAGAGGACTCCCCCACTTAGATAGTCAAAGATGCCTTGAAAGTTAGCTTAATTCTTAATGCAGGATTTGTTGTCAAACACATCTTAGTGATTTTATCTTTGTGATAGTTGAAGGTATTTAGAGGTCCACTACGATAACTCCACCGTTAAGAAAAGCAACATTATTGGCTCATTTTCGGCAGAAAATCTTCATAGGAGGTACATTTGATGCTACTAGCTGCCAATTATCGCCATTTTTTATTTCTGTTTCCGTTAGTTGTTGGTGTAATTAAATTAAATACTATTTCAATGGTAGCAGTGGATCATTTTGGGATATAAAATGCTATATATGAATCCACTTTCATATATTAAGTGAGCTGGGGAATTCCCAATTAGTGAAGGATTAGGACATGGACCTAAAGTTGTATAAATTATATATCAATGTTAAAAATGGCCACTTGAATTGTAAAATATAGGCAAGATAAGAATAACCTTATCCCTTTAATTTCTCATAAATCAACCTATATAAAAAAAAAAAAACTATGCATGAAAACGTAATTAATCCTCAAATAATTAGACTAATTATTATTCCCTTTTCTAGTAGAAGAAGAGATCGCTATGAATAATAACAATTAGTCGGCAAAATGTTGTAAGCACTATTTAAAACAAATTCGATTGGAAAACCAGCAAGGAAGGAAACTTCACCTTTGTGGGCTTGATATAATCATCAACCACAATGTAGTTATAGGAAGTAATGGGAAATTTATATAATAATTGATTGGTTTTGAGTCTTTTGACGTCTCAACCATTTTAATTTAATTCAAACTTTCCTCTATATATTCCACCTGCTCTCTTCTCTTAGACAGTGAGACACTATAAAGGTTATTCTTCCATAATGCCAGAGGCCTTCAATACAACCCTTATTTTGGTTCGTTGCTGGAGCATAGCATCGCCCAGAAACAAAGCCTAATTTCTTCGTATACAAAGGTAGTGATTGCTATGTTTATAGTAACATTTTTGGAAATGGATCCTCTGATGTGTCAAAAAAATATGATATGGTCATGTGAGAAGATCACAATCATACAAAGCTAAATCAACGGTTATGATTTCATAACTACCTATTTTATCATTTTTTCTCTCTTCTCTTTTTTTACCATTGATCTACCTTTATATGATTATGATTCCTCACATGACATGGTCATGTGAATTTTCACATTAGAGGATCCGGATCCAACATTTTTATTAAGGGAATAAGTGGTGATGTTGGGACGGCTCAATCAAACCAAATCTCCCATTGGTTGGGTCCTTTGATATGATTGAGCCGTGTCAATATCAATTTCCGCTTGACATACACTTTGAGTGTTTGTTATTTTCCGTTACTTCGTATATGTTTAAATTAATTTATTTTAAAATAGTTTTGAATGAAATCATTATTGAGAGACCGTTTAGAAAAAGATTCCTAAATTTTTTTTTGGTAGTTAATCCCTAAAAATTAAGTCTGGGCAAATATGCATCTATTCAGTTTCATGTTGTAGGAATAATGTTATCATTTATCCTGTAAATTGCAAATAATGTCTGCTTAAAAATTCTAGCTAGCTTAATTATGAACAGCACTTATGCATCTGTTCTAGATTTCAGTTATAAAAGGGAGAAATGATACAAATTTTATATTTATTTTTTTTGGTTATAAAGAAATGATAAATCTGTAGGCTGAAAGAATTGGTTTGCGAATAGATCCTCTCTTACTAAACTTTCTCACATGAACTATGCATGTGAAAATTTATCCAAAATTTATATATAACAATGTAAGTTGTGCCAATTTCTTCCATTTAGAGTTTTCCACGAGAGTTAACACAATCTTGTCGTATTAAATGATGATACTTCAGTTAGCACCACATAAATGAGCAGGTGGGAGTGAGAGCATATGTGTTCGATTCTTCCTAGTATTATTTTTGGAAGAAATTTAAAACCTTAATACCAAGATTCGCCCTGAATCGGACTAGTCATGAAGCGATGAACCGATTGGTAAACAAAGAGGAATATCTCAACAACAACAAAAAAACACAATCTTGTCGTATGTAAATGTTAGAACTCACGGCAAGTGCACCGATCGTACAAATAATATAATGATTGAATAAGATATCGTTCCCACGAGGATTATACTCAAGCACTAATTCACTATTGCAACTTAAGTTAGACAAGCGAAATTGTATTTGAAACAAGATTTGAATTGAAATTTAAATATTAAAACTAATTAATCGCAAGAATTAAAAACAAGAATTTAAAGATTTGATTTAACTAATATAAAAGAACGTAGCTAGGGTTTCGATTTCCTTCAATCTCTCTATTACGTTTGAATTCCTTCTTTACGTTAATCGTCCTTAATATCAATCTAATCAATTCTTTCTTATGTAATTAGGGCTCAATCCCTTGTTACCCTAAACCTTTACAATCTTGCAAGAACCTAGTTCCCCGGTTATTCCCCAAGAAGGTAAGCATTAAGTTCAAGAACCATAAAGATTACGCAAACTCTATGTCTATCCTAGAATCATAAAGCGCACGATGAAATTATCAGATAAGGATCAAACCCCAACATTCATATTGTCATGCATTCACCTAAGATCAATATATAAGATTCAAGCTTATATAAAGCATTAAAAATAGATAATTTCATTCATGACAGAAAGGAAAATTAACATAACGAATTGTTCAAAGCATAATAACGAAATTAAATTCCATCTAACCCTAACTACTAAAGAATCTAGCCGGACAGAGAAATATCAAGAATGAAAAAAAATATAAAAGCTCTCCCAAACTCCATAGATGATTGGTGAATCTTCAATATCTCCGGTGCAAGCTTGATTTTGATCCGTCTCCACCGCTCACGAACATGAACTGATGAATTTCTTCGCTCTCCCTCTGCCTCTGAGTACCAAGAACTCTTCTTGAATGTGTAAAACTTTTTAATTCTGACCCCAAAATATATTTTTAAGGGTAAAGAATTCGTGCCCTAGGTGGAGACTTTAAGTGGGCTTAAGTTGGGTCTTTCGGGGCGCTTAAGCTTGCTCATTTGCGCTTAAGCTTCCTCATTTACGAATCAGAATTAACGTTCAAGCTTAAGCTTGCTGAAGCGCGCTTAAGCGCGCTCTTCGAGTCTGAACTTTCTTCTTGGCTCGCGCTTAAGCCTTGAGTTGGGGGCTTAAGCGCCCAGAGGCAGAGGCTATTTGTGTATTTAGGAGGCTTTAGCTTCGAAATGGGGGCTCACGTCTCCTCTTCAATAACTTGATTTTCTTGATAAGATCTTCAAATCTTCTTGTTTTGATCTTCATCTATCATATCTTCACATTGACTCCATTTGACATCAAATCCCTTCAAAATAGCAAATATAATTTATTTAATTCATAATCAGATAATGTTCATGATTTTATGTTAAAACCCTAGTTTTTTACTTGTTCAATTTGATAATTTATATTAATTTAACCTATAAAAACAAGATAAACTAGAGGTTTATCAGTAAACAAAGAGGAATACAAAATTATTTAGTCACAACTAAAATTCATTCCTCTAACTTATAGATGCAAAACAAGAACGATATTAAATTTCACATCATTTAACTTGCATTATATCTAATGCGTAAAATCTTTTAAACCCAATGAATGTAGCTCACTTGGCAATATAGGCTAAATAGAATAGGGAGAAAATTTGGTTTGGCTTCTCACCAAATATATTTTTAGAAGAAGGTGAAGAGCTTTAATTTTGACTAAGACTCTACTTGGAATTAATCTCATATATAAAAAAAAAAAAAAAAAAAAAACCTTTTCAATCTAGTTTATCCCAAAAAAAATCACAATCTAATGTGTTACACCGGAATTGCTACAGTCTAGAGCTAATCAATAAACACGAAAGGTAAAAAAATTAATTTCACTCGATGCAAGACAGTTATCCCTCGCCTTTGTAGGCTGTAGTTTTTGGTTTTGTTTTTTCTCTTCCCTTTGTTTCCAAAAAAAAATATTCATCTTACTTTTTTCTTTAAAGTAAGAACAAACAAGATAAACAAGAGTAACGACGATTTAAGTCTGACTTAACAGTATAACATAAGACTCGCTCTTAATTATTTTTTGATATAATAAACATTTTAAAGTCACGTAATTTTGTTATAAAATAAGTGTAGATTAATTAATTTTAATTGAAAAAAATGTAATGATTAATCATTTCAAATAAAGCAACAGGTCAGATACTTAAAATAAGAAAACAAAACATTAAAAGAAAAAAACCTCTGTATGTCAAATAGGATCAAAGATGTATTTCGTAAAAAAAATAATAATAATTATTTATTTTGATAAATTAAATAGGTTGCCCGTTTGACTATCCGAATGAAATGAAATAGAATCCTCTTTTTCGGTATTTATTTATGGAAAAAATATCTATCATTTTGAACGATATAATCATATGTCATTTTAAATTCTAACGGTTGATTTTTATTCATCAACGGTTATAATTTATTAAGTCAAATTTAATATGCCAAACTGATTATTAATTAATTAATAATTTTGATTCAATAAATTATAACCGTTGATTGACGAAAATCAACGATTAAGATCTAAAATGACATATGATTATATTTTTAAAAAAAAAATAGATATTTTTTCCTTTATTTATTTGGTGCTGGCTGCAAACAGAGGATCTTGGTAACAACCCCATCACTTATGATATACGAAAAAATTCACACTGTTTTTCTTATGGGATAGTCCATGGCCTTCATTAAAGATAAATTGATAATTTAAACAGTACAAGGGAAAGAATTCAACAACTAAAGGGTGAGTCCTTATGATAAAATCCTCTATTCCCATTGAAAGGGAAAGAGTAGAGGGGCTTCATTCCCCTGCGATCCATTAGAACCAATATTATACATTGAGGAACAATGGTGGTCACTCCCATTGGGACCCAAAACTGGGTCCACGGACCCCAAGTTGTTATCATGCAGGCTCAGGCCTAAAGGTTGCATAAGGGATGAGTGTGTGTTCACCATTTGGTTTAATCCATTTCCAGGATTGTGCGTCTGTGGTGATGACAGAAGAGAGAGAGCACAAGAGGAGGAGTCATGGACCGAACTTGTTATGCTATCACAAAACATTTTGCATCTCAGCCCTCCACTTTCTGAAAAAGGGCTTGTCCTGAAAAAAGTTTGGCTCAAGGAAGTAGCTGGTGGAACATGTGTATTTTGGTTATGGTCACCTTGTATGAATGCCACTTGCTTCCCTTCGTTATAGCTGGTTTGAGAAGATCCAAGAAAAAGGTCTTGTTTTTCAACCAAATGCACTTGTTGGTGTTGGTTGTGGCATTGAAGCCTAACATCTGCACACGAAGTGACAACTCCTCCACCCCATGCAGGATTCACCACAGCAGTGGAAGGGTACACATGTGAACTTGAAAAGGGTAGCAATTGGCTACCTGAAAAAAAAAAGTACTTGTAAAGTTAGACATTGACTCTGCTGTGTTATATTTCAAGTGTGTGGGCATGGTCTTGGTTTGTTTAGGTACACTATACCAACCAGTGTTATCAAACCCGGATGGGTAATTCACTTGATCGGAGTACTTGGTTAATAGGTTATTGGTTCAACCAGTGGATTATGACTTGAACCGGTGAAATTAAATATATATACATTAGATTGTAATAAATATTATAATTGGTGCATTATATATTATCACAAAGGTGTTGGCATAGTTGCAGGTCTCATCCGGTTTTAATAACTATGATATCACGTCATCTCTTAGTCACTCAAATTATTATTTAACATGTGCAAAATTACGGTCCAACCATATGTGGCAGTGCCTAACCAAGAATTGCTGTGTGTGTGTTGTCAAGAAATGTCCAAACCATGTGAGACGTCACTCACACAAGATATGATATTTCAGCAATAGATAACTACTTAAAATGACAGTCTAGCTTGCCCTATCTCAAAAGCAAAAGCCTTTTGTTATTGTGTGTTTGTGTGTGTGTGTGTACTGACATGATATTTTAGTGGCCACTGGATTGTCATGAGAGTGGACATCAATGGACCAAATCGGGGACGGTGGCAGCGCACTCAGGTAGCTAAGAGCTTTTATGTAATTGTGTTATTTCTTACTCTTTTAAGATTTATGTACATATGTGGGGATCCTCAGCCATTGTCTGCTCCAAATCTAGGCACATATGGGTCCACTCAGATAATGTAGTTAGAACTTGAAGCTAACCTTGGTAATTGGACAAAAAACTACCAGATCGCGTGAGAGGTTCTGGCTGGGGCTTTCTTCTCCGTCGGTTGTGCCCATCTAAGCGTTTCCTGCAGCTTCTTTTTCCTTCATCAAATTCCTCTAGTGAATGGAACCTGCAGAAAGGAAAGATTCAGTATTTTTCCATATTGCAGAATCTACTGGTAAGAGGGTTCAAAGCTATAGGACTTCAAGGACACAAGAAAGGGTGGTCTCTTAAATTAGAATCATAGACATTGTTAACTAAATTAATCATCAACAAGTGCTTTTCTGCACAAGTTACAGCTCCACATGGAAACTATCCAGATATTCATGTATCTTAGCAGGGGAGGCAGAATTTTCAAGTTAGTATAAGGTTTCGTCTATTAGGATTCATTTCTTGTTAAGGATTGAGCTTCTGCCTCTCAAAATGAAAAATGCTATCAATAGCAGAAAGCAAAAGAAAGTAACTGGCTAAAGTACTTGGGAAGTTAACATGAATATTGGATATTGATGCACATAACTTAGATGTCTATTATGTACAATGTACAATACAAAGAAAAAAGAAGAAGAGAAAAAAAATGCAACAATTAAGAGGAAAAATCATAAGCAATCTAGAACGCAAATAAGAAATTTCATAGCAAAATATAACACAAGCCAACACACACACACATATATGTATATATACATATGATACACGTACCTGCTACACTGTTGGCAGAACCTTTGGTTGTGGCCACCAATTGTGACCTGCGCAGTCTTGGAATGGAGTTCACAGACCTTATGGCGCCTATGATAATCCCTACAATTACTAAGATCTGAATGACATCCATCCACAAGGCATGACACTGTCTGGTTCCCGTTGTTAATGGCTCGAGCTCTCTTAGATGAACCTGAAGATGATGATGTTATTTTGGAGACTCCAGCACCATCTTTGGACTTGGTTAACACTGATTCGGTGCCAGAATTTCCCACCTGGCCAAGCTTCAAATCAAATGAAAATTCTCCTTTCGTTCTATAAACACCAAATCTGCTTGACTCATCCATTGTTTCTATGTTGGGCAAGGTTGCCTGATCCACTGCAGTTAAATCCCAAGAAGGTGCTTTCAAATTCCAGTCCATAACAAAAAACTTCAACTTTTGCAGCTCTGGTTCCTCAAAAAGCTCCTCTTATCTTTGTTTGGTCACCCTTCTGTATATGACACCAAGATGGTTCTCAATTGCATGAAAAACAAGAGAAAATTAAGCAGGGAGAAACATTAGACTAGACACTCATAAAAAAGAAGGTGAACCAAACTTAACTCTATAATAGAAAGTATATCTCTATATGATTAGTGGGCAGCATCCGAACTTCAATTCAACAAGATTTTCAAAGTGACAACTGATAGAGGAGGAAATTATGACAAAAACAAGACAGCCAGAAAATAAGCACTTACTATACAAACACATTAAAGATTTGTTTGTCCGTATTTAGGGGGGAGAGAGAGAAGAAACCAGCACCATAGGGGGTTACATATACATAATAAATGACTAACTACCTTGCAAACAAGCTGTAGTAGTTCCAAGTAAACAGGAAGTTACAATTGAGAAGTTTACCAACTGCACATAGTAAAGCAACTAAATGTTAAAATATATATGTATTTTACAAAAAAATAAATACTCAATGAAAGAAGGAAGGAACTACTTGCTGACAACTGCAGCAGGAGGATGCTTACTTCTTCCCTTCACCACCAACACTGGAGAGTCAAATTAAGGAACAAGATTTTGTATTTTTAAAAAATAAAATTAAAAAGACAGAAAAGAAAAAGAGAGGATTGCATGTTATTAAGAAGGAATCCACACAAACCATACCTTGTTAAACACTAAAGAAGATGAAATTGTGAATTTGTGCAGACAGGAGTATGGATAATGTATTAAAAAGTTGAACTTTGAAACTAGGGGAGGACAGAGAGAGAACAAGAGCAATGAAATTCAAAAAGGGTCTGGATTGATGTGCTCTGTTTAACAAGTTCAACTAAATATTTTAATAATTTAAATATCTTTTATTTCCAAATATAGGGGTTCTTTCCGGAATGTATAGTAAGGAGATAAAATAAGATATAATAAGGAGATATAATAAGGACAGGCTGTTGGTTGCTTTCAACTTTTATTAGTCAGAAAAAAGAAGTACAAAGAATGGATGCTAAGACAAGGCATGTGGCATTGTGTTTCACATTTCATGGTATGTCTTCCCCTTAGGTTTTTTATTTTTATTTTCTTTTTATTGATACATTTATAATTACTTGGAATATGGAAATTGGAACTTGCAAGTGTTAAAGTGTAGCCCACACACACTCCTTGGAGCCAGAGTGGGGAACAAACAAAAAAAACACTTCAAATTTGAAAATGAGCACCTAAGGTGTGAGGCTTATTTTTTTTATTTTTTTTTAATAATTTCAAAGATATCCTTCGTTCGTAATCGAAGATTAATTTTCATCGAGCGTTGTCAGACTTTTTAGGAGCAGCTCTCTCAAAAAAAAAGTTTCCATTCTCAGAGTTAAAACTCAAACTTCTTATTAAGGGTCCAAACACTTTATCACTTGTGTCAAATTAAGGGGTCCAAATACTTTATCACCTGTGTCAAAAGAGTTTGGCACTAGTGAGACTTATTTGAATAGAAACAAAAAAGAGAAGAAAAAAATCTACATAATAGTTATGTTGGACTCTAGTTTCTTGTCAGAAAGCTAATGATGACTCCTAGTGGTGGGCCTTTGCAGTAGACGTTCGCCATTAATATATAGGGCTCCAGGTTTAGATGCCTTGCTGATTTAAGCCACGACAACTATGAGAAGCAATAAAACGTTCATATGCCCAAACACTTCCAGCACGTGATCATTTTTACTCTATATGTCTTCATTTCCCGTCCTGTCTGCGACTGATGCTGCATAATTGGTATTTATGATTCTGAGAAAGATTTATTGTGCACACAGTACACCAGTAGGGACATAATGATTTTTTTTTTATTAAAAACTAATAAGCAAATATACATTAAATTATGCGTTAAATGTTATACTTTTATCAAATTTGCAAATCTTATAATAATTACCTTACTTGACTTTGAATTTAGAAATATTTGATTGATACATAACATATAATTTCAATAGTTTCATGATTCAGCTATTGGAAACGAATCCGACTATAAGATATTAGGATATCTCATGTGACCATATGTTACATTTGTTGACAAGAAAAAAGAAAAAGAAAAGTGTAAATGGGATATGGAAGGCAGTGAGTTGCGACTAGTCAGTGCAGCCTTTTGGACATGAAGGTCCTGCAACCTGCATCAACATGAGGGAGAGGCCTTGGCTATTTAATTATTGCCAATATTGCCTTTACATGGGTCCTGGATGTGTAGCTTGGTTAGCACTGTTTGCTGCTTAGTACCGTGCAATAGGGTTCTCTGATTAGATGTGCACTGCATTTGTCTGCGTAAGTGGTCCACAAAAATTGACTTGGTGGTTGTAAAGAAAGGTTTATCTACTAAAAAAGGAGAGGGAGGGAGACTGGGAGAGGTTGAAATGCAAGGTAACAAAATAGTATGATCGTAATGCCCAAGGACTACAAGAATCTTTAAAAGGAAACACTATTTTCATTTTACATGAGAATAATTTTTTTATATTATAAAAAAATAAAATGAAATCCATCATTAAAGGAAAAAAAAAATGAGATTTTCAAAGTGAATGAATATAAGATAACTAATAGTATTTTCCTTCTTTAAAATATGGTATTATTATGCACGCAAAGATGCAATCATTCCATTCAAGTATTACTAAATTGGCATCATTTACATTTTTCCAAATCAATTCTATAAAGCTTATGATAAAAGTTACCATAAATGAATATAACAATGTATACTTTAAATATATAAACAAAAATATGCTTTCGAGGATATTTCTACTTTGCGTCATTTTACATAAAATAACGTTATTTTGGTACATAATTGGTAATTTTTTACTTTCTCTCTCCTCTATAAAATTAGAAAGAAAGAGAAAGTGGAGCAGAAAGAATATAAAAAATTATCAATTATGCATCAGAATGACATCATTTTATCTAAAATGATGCAAAATTATATCCTTTAAAAGGACAAATATTTTTTTCTATTTCTATGGGACAATGGGAGGAGTCTATGGTAAGGGGAAATTTATCATCGACTGAGCTAAGCTATAAAATCTCTTCAATAAGTGGGCTTGGATACTACATCTTAAACCAGAATCTTCAGACGTTAGATTTATGGGTCTTTCCACTTATATGGTTCTCCCCTTTCAATGAGTTATAAGCCCAGATTTGCTCCCCCTTAAGCGGAAGTTGTTTGAGTATTCGTGAGACTATTTCAAGGCTTGACTATACTCATCAAGTCATTAGTTAAGATGGCCACAGAGTTTTATTAGAGATGTGCAAAAGAACCAAAAAAATTGAATCGAACTGTGAACCAAACTCAATCGCACTTAAAATAACTAATTTTTAAAAATCGGTTCATGAACCGAACGGGTTTTTAAAACCAGTTCAAGAACCCAACCGAACTGAACTGGTTTTTATTACTTTATTTCTTTGATCTTTTTATTTATTTATTATTAGAATTAGGTCGACCTGAACTAATTTCGAACCGAACTGTTTCCAACCGAACTGAACCATTTTTGAAAGAAACCGAACCGGTTTTGAACTGAACTATTTTCGAATCTAACCGTTTTAACCAATTCAGTTCGGTTCTTCAAAAAATTCAGTTAAATTCGACCCATGAACACCCCTAAGTTTTTTTTTTTTTTGATAACAAAACACCCCTAAGTTTTATATCAAGGTTTGGCTACACCCTTCAAGTCTTTGACTCCATACTATGAGTTTGGTTGACCATCAAATTCAAACACTAACTACCATATCCAAATACTCGATTCACATAGGTCAATCAATCGTTGGCTCCAGTGGCTTATTTATGTCTCCACATTTAGTGATTGGGATTTGAGGGCAGCGCCTGTTGCGAACACGACAAGTATACAGGTCGTACAAGTAATAAAGTGAATGAGTAAAAGTATCCTTTCCATTAGAACTAATTACAAGCAAAAGTTTCACCATTTTTATCTAAGTTAGACAATTCAAAAGTATTTTTACAAAGTAAACATTATTTAATTAAAAATTAAATAAAAATGACAGTAAAAGAAATTATATAAAAAGCTAATTTGAAATAAAAATTAAGTTTTTAAAATTGAGAATAAAAACACAGTTAGGGTCTACTTCACCTCTGATTCCCCTTAAGTAAATTAATTCAATAAAATTCTAACTCTCTTGTTATCAAACGATTCATCATCTAATTATTAATTGGTTAAATCTCTAATATCTTGGTTATTTAACCCTTTAACCTAATTAGAATCCTAATTTCTTAGAAATCCTTTTTAGATTAAGCATTAAGTGTAATGAATCTCACACGCTTGCAACTCTCACCATTCTGTGTCTAGAACAAGCAAAAATTGGTATTTTCCTAGTCCAGTTAAAATCCTAAATATTTCTATTTAGAATTTTGTCCTTTTTTTTTTGGTAAACAGAAGGCCTAAGCCAAAAGAACAACAAAGACAACCAAAACCAAAACTAAATCCTACACCTCACTTCCCTGGACCTACTGACACCAGTAAAGTCACCACGGAGAAGATGAAGAATGTCAGGAGGAAGATCCCTCCAAAACTGATAAGTAATGGAATCATCCGAATCCAGAATAAAATTCGCCAACCAATCAGCACAGACGTTTCCTTCTCTATAAGTATGCATCAAAGTAACTGACCAACTCCTATTGATCCATGTCTGTATATTGCTCTGACACTCACGGACTGCTACACCAGACTTGGTGAGCACAGTGATCACACTAGATGAATCACTCCCAATAATTATATTACGAAATCCTTCGTTCCAAGCTAGCTCCAAACCACGAAGAACACCCCAGAGCTCAGCCTTAAAAGAAGAGCAAACCCCCAATTTGTAAGCAAAACCCCCCATCCATCTCCCTTGAGAATTACGAATCAAACCCCCACAAGCAGCTAGGCTAGGGTTACCTCTAGCTGCACCATCTATGTTAATTTTTACTGACCCATCTGTTGGAT